GGGCAGCTGAGCTGGCTCAAGGAACAGTTTAGAAAACACGGACCTACTAATGTTCCTATAAGTTTTGTCTTGCAGTTCTGCCCTCTGGACAGTGGGCAGCCACCCACCCCAGAGGCACAGCCCATTTTGTGTGGGATCTGTGCTGTGAGAATGCCCTGCCAGTGTCTCAGGATGGACTGATAATGTATTTGTCTTACTGTGTACAGCCCTCAGGGTGACTGGTCCAAACTTCAGCACCTCGGTGAATTCCATACTAGAAAAGGAGATTTTCCCCTCCCTTTTTTTCCTCCTTTCCCTTTTTCCCTTATTTCCCCCCTTTTTCACCCCTCTTCCCCCCTTTATCCCCCCCTTCCCTCCCTTTTCCTCCTTTTTCCCCTTTTTCTCATTCCCCCCTTTTTTCTCCTTCCCCCTTCTTTTTTTCTCCTTCCCCCTTCTTGTTTTCCTCCTTCCCCCCTTTTCTTCTTTCCCCTTTTCCCACTTTTACCCCCTTTTTTTTTCCACTGCCCAGGTCTTATGGTCTTACACGGGGAAGCTGAAAAATCCAGTTTTGTAGCAGCTTTTCTCCTGGGCTGTGAATTCAAGCAAACCCGTGCAGGTCCAGTGACATGTGACCTCACCCCTTCCTTCTCCTGTCATTCTCCTTCTCTGTAATGCAAAATGTGATGCAGAAACGCAGTTCCTTTGGCTAAATTTGGACTCTGGTTCCCTCCACAGCCGAGGAAGGGCCCCCTCTCCACGCAGACCTGTCCTACTACTCCTATGAGTACGACCCTGACCCCTTTGCTGCAGAACCCGATGTGTTTGAGGTGGAGGCAGAGCTGACAACAGGGCGCACCTTCAGGGAAGGGGATGGGATCCAGGGAGAGGTGACCATGGCAGAATGGTGAGCCCAGGGTGAGTCATAAATCTTCTTTGAGACTCAACCTATCATGTCCTGGGTCAGATGTGTTTACTTCCTCAAAAGGTGCATTTTTACACTTCCCTCTTTAGCAAGGAATCCCTGGGAATGGGATCTTGAAAGGCTTTGTGGCTCCATCCCCAGCAGAACAATCTTTGAAGCTTTTCCCTGCCCAGCTCCGACGATGTCTCCCCAAGACGCATAACTTGTCTTCACTGTGTTCTCTTTTCAACAGAAATCTATAATTTAAACCAAGAGAAGAGGCTCAGAATCAACTCCTGTATGAGTTTGTTCCTCCAGACGACCTGCTGCAGAACACAAACTGAATGATTAAATGATGACTACTTCCTGATGCCCTCAGAACTGTTGGCTTTGCTGCCCCATGGGGTGGATCTGGAGCTCTAAGGGGGACACTCAGCATGATTTTTCTGTTGATTTTCCTGCCTTTTGTGCGTTCTCCTTGGAGCCCTTCCAATGATGGGAGACCAATATGCTGTGCCCTCTAGGTGAGAAAAATAGGGACTGGAATTCAAACCTATAGAGCATTTCCAAGTGTTTTCTCTGCTATCAGGATATACTGCAAGTGCCATTTCCTAGATACATTTAGAAGCTAAGTCCAGACCTTGTACTTAGCTGAACTGCTGTTTGAGGAAAGATGGCTAAGAAGTTTTTGCTCAAATTATAATAATAAAAATCAGTGTGTTTTGCTAATTATGACATAGCAAGAGGCTAATTATCTTCCCCAGCCCGTAAGTCTGCTGCACCCACAAGAGAGACACTTTCCTGTGGCTCCGTGTTCAGAGAAGCTGTTGGGAGGTACATTTTACCAGAGAAAACTGGAATCCACTGTCAGGGCTGAAAGGCTTTGTGTCTGCCTTATGTCTGCAGGCCTCAGGTGGGAGTTTTCCAGCTCCAGCAGTGACAAGGATTAGGTGGGGGAACCCTCTCTGTGTTGCACTATGTGCTGATAGGGGCTGCTTGCAGCCTTCTCAGCCCTTTCCTCCTTGAACTTTGGCATGAAAATGAAGCTGACCGAGGCACAGTCCTTTTAAATGTTTGCCTGACTTCACTAATCCCTTTTATTCTGCTCCCACTGGGATCCAGCACAATGGTTGTTCTGCTCATGGTACTCTCTGCCCAGCCCAAGGTCTGCTGGCCAGTACCAATCCCTGGGGTCACAAGCTGGACTCCCTTAGTCTGACCTGCCCCAAGCAACGTGGCAAAACTAAAAACAAAAGCTTTGCGTTTCCAAAAGTGTAGGAGGCCAAGATTTTTTAGTTTCCCTTCCTGCCTGGAGCAGCATTGTTCTCCTTGGAGGAGTTACATGCAATTGCCTCTTGCAAAATAGTGTTAATATTTTATCTTACCACTTCTATTGTTACCAGGACCCAGAGCAGGGTGGAAACTCCTTTTGAGGGTGTTTATTGGTGAATGGAAACAGAAAAAAGCCCAGCTCCATTCATTTTTAGGGCTTGTTTACGCAGGAACTATGACAAGAATATATCCCAGTATAGACATTCCATTCCAGAATAAAGGCAAGTTTATTCCAGAAAAATGTCCACATGGGGACAGACCAGGAGGTATCCCAGAGGTTGGGCATGTGTAGTTTCCAGTCTTTTTTGTTTGGGACCAGACATTTGCAGAATGTAGTTGACATGATAAAAGTCTGGGTCTTGAAGTTCCCAGAAATTTCAGAGCTGCTTTGTTGGCAAGTTTTTCATGGCTGCTCTGAGCTCTCCTCACGGGATCTTGGCATGGCTGCTACTCTGGGTGCCCACTGCTGCCCTGCTGAGGGGTTTACCACGTGTCCTGGGTATGCAGGGGGGGGAGATCTGTCCTCCCTGTGTCTGCACAGCACAGTGGAAGCACTGGCGGCCGCATTCCTGCCTGGCAGGTAAATAAAGACCTTCAAACTAAATTCCATCTCCTGTAAGCAGCTGGCCTGGCTAGACACTGGTTATTGTGTACACACACAGGGCTGAGTCAATATTTATCCCCAGGGTAAATAACAGACCTACTGTGAGCTGCAACAGGATTTCTTTTTTCCCTTTTCTAAATCTCAAAGCTGCACAATACAAACCCTGCTCTTTGCTGGTTCAGGCTTCAGCTGTTTGGTGCTGTGAGTGTGGGAGAATGAGACAGTCACCCTGATAATGTCTGTGATTGGCTTCCCCTAAAAGTGGGGCCTATGCTCTGGATTCTTCAGTCTCCTGTCCTCAGTCACTTTCTGGCTGGACTTTCCTGCTCTCATCCATTGTGCATCTTTGTATATCCATTGAGAGATATTTGAAATAATTTTCCATTGCTTGGTCCTCTCATAGGTCCTTGGGTAGTCAGACATCCCCCTTGGGGATGAGGAGGTGAAGGTGGGGAGTTTCAGCCAAGTATTAAACCTGACTTTCTTCACTTTCCTCAGGCTCTGGTACATGCAATGTCCTAATTCCAGATTCAGACACCTCCTTGTTTCTGCCAGGTAAATAATTCCAGCTGGTGGTGCCAGCCCATCAATCATAGCCCTGTCTGAGGGATCTGTGTGCGCCTGTGCACTCACCTGCTAGAGGCAGAGGAGTCTTGCTTCTGTTTTGCAATTCAAAGTAAAGCCAGAGAGACCTGGGCCCTCAGAAGGCAAAGGCAGAGCAGCCTTAGAGCCAGACAGAGCAGTTCAGTGTGTGGGAGGTGATGGGACAGGATTTCTGGATCCTGACTTCATCTCCAGTGCTTCTCCCCACCTTTGGCACTTTCAGGGCAAGACATCTGCTCTTGGCAGCCTCTGTCTCCCCCCACTCTTGCCACACCAAACCAGTTCCTTTCTGTACTGAAAAAAAAGTCATTTTATTTAAGGAATTGCATAAAGGAACCTGCACTTACACCATTGTGGTTGCCTTTCCCCTCTTCACAGGAGTAAAGGAGCATGTCTCTGCTCTCTTCTTCTCCACCCTAGTTCATGGTCCCTCTGTCCAGAGCTTTCCCCTGTCCCACATTTACTGTTCATGTTTCTTGTCATCATCATTAATTCTTATCTCCATTCTTCAACATCTTACTTGGAATACAGACACTCTTTAGGCCTGGGGCCCTGAGAACCACTGGACAGAGCACAGCTGTATCAGACTCCAAGCTGTTCACAGGCTTTGGTCCAGTTCTCGCTCTGGAACTAATCAGTCACACTCCTATCCCTGCGAGCACAAGGACATCCCAGCACTGAGAACTCAGGCCCCTGCTTTGTGCACATCAGCCAGTCATAGTTTGGAGTGAAGGATTGATTTTGTTTCTTTTTTTCACCAAGGAAAAGACCAACTGGGTGCTGGAAAGCCAAAGCCAGCAAGGTCAGCAGGTTGTTTCTGCCTCAAAAACAAATTTGCCTCCCTCTGTCAGAGAGATGTTTCTCCTTTCCTTTCCCTGATGGTCTCTCACTGCAAAAGGGGAAAAGTGCCAGTGGGCTTGTAAGACACAGAAAAAGCTTCTTCCATTGAGTTACTGAATAGCTGCAGCAGTGCTAGTTATCAGTGATTGATGCTTCCAGTCCTTTCAAGGAGATTAATATTTATATGTTTGTAACTGTACATTATGCAGAGTAATCATTACCATGGTATTTATTTTAAAGCAATGGTTCCCTTGTTCTTTCTCGTCCTAGTGTTTTGGTCTTGCCTCTTTTCCTCCTTCCTAATAAGCCTCAGTAGAAAACAAATACCAGAAGAATGTTCAGCTTACTTGGAGAACATCGTTGACATACCAGCACTTGCTTTGCTGACTGTTACCATTTAATGCACAATAACCTGGTTTTCATTATTGTGAATAGAGCAACTATTTAGAAAAACCTCAGCTTAGGTTGGGTTTGTGGTTTTTTTCAGTACCTGCTGTTTCTGAGTCCCCACAGCCCTGGATGCCCCAGGGCTCCTGGTCACCACCTGGTGCATCCCCTGCACCCTGAGACTGGTCCTAGTCTTTCGCCTGCCCTTTGCCCCTCCCCCCGCCCCCCAGGTACCTGCAAGCAGTTCTCTGACCATTTTTGTTTTGTTCACACAAATCTTAGCAAGTCTGAGTCCAGAAAAGTGTTTGGTTTGGATTCTGATAAATATTTTATTAAAAACTTATTTTAAGACAATCTTGTCTGCCTCTTTTTATTCACGCCGTCAAGTCTGTAACAGGAAAACAAAAAAATTCAGGAACTTTAAGGAGGGCTATTGTTCATTTTCTACCTTGCTTCTTACTGGACCTATGCCCCAGTTGTGTCTGAGAGATGAACCTGCTGCAGTTTGATAAATATGGTGAATTTGCAACAGATTCCAATAAGCAACAAGCCTGAGCATCTCTTTCAGCTTTTGGTTGTGGGTGACATTACACAAAAGAAGTATGGAGTCCTAGAGCAAGAGCTTGCTCAATCCCTACTTTAATATTGCCCTTCAAGAGACATAATTTTTTTAAAAAATCTATTAATACAATCTTTGCCCCAAAGAAATGACGGATGTCAAGGGTCATTTGCAAAAACAGGGATGAGTGAATGGGATTTCTACGCTTTTTACCAACAATGAGCTGACATTACTGTGGGGTTGCTTATGAATCAAGCCAATAATGTCTTTCCTAGAAAAACCATTCTCTTGACTGTTTCAGTCCAGGAGAGTATCTTTTGAAACTTTTGAATCTTTTGAAATTTAGAAATTTGGTTTTGCAATGCCTGGTCTTTTTCAGTTTTAGGTGAAGGGAAGATGTGTTTAAGGAGCAGGAGCAGAGCTAGAAGGCAGAGAGCAATCAGCTGGCAGGGTCAGAAAAAGCAGCCCTGGGTGTATCAGCAAGAGTATCCCTGGTGATACCTGACCAGGTGAGAAGTTGCAGTGTCCCAGTAGTTGATGTATGAGTTCAGCACTAAGCATCTCACACCACAAAGAATCCCACAGCCCAGGTTTATTCACTCTTTGCTGTGCAGACAGGAAAAAGGACTTGGTTCCTGGATGAAACTTGTGGAATTCCAGTGTTGTCTTCCTCTTTATCCCCACTGTGTGTTGGGAGTGCCCTGGGAGCAGGAGCTGGGTTGGGGGCTTTATACCAGGGAGTGTTTGGAACGGGGGAGTGTTTCCTTGGAGAACTTGGAGGTCTTCAGGGAAGTGCTGTTTTGCTTGCTGCTCCTGAAGAACCTTTTCCTGACCTTATCCCTGAAGTCTTCTGACACATAGTAGTAGACAAAGGGGTCAGCACAGCTATTGCAGGTGCTGATGGCCAGGCTCACCATGTAGCTGATGTAGAGCTTCCCGTACAGCCTGGAGCAGTAGCTGGAGTAGTGACCCAAGAGCAGAACGTTGCTGGGAGTGTAGAAGGCCACGAGGGTGAACACCACCAACGCCGTGAGCTTCATGGGGTAGGAGTAGCGCTTCCCCCCGTGCAGGAGGACGCGCAGCACGGAGCAGTAGCTGAACAGCACCACCAGCAGCGGCAGCAGGAAGGCGCAGGCGATCAGGCACACGAAGTAGTAGAAATAATACCCGTCATCCTCATGCCTGGGCAGGATGTCGTGGCAGAGGGTGAGATCTGCCCCGAGCAGGGGGTAGGACTGCTGCTGCAGGGCCAGGGGCAGGGTGAGCACAACCGAGCAGAACCAGACAGTGACACAGGTCCAGGCGGCGAAGGCAGGGGTGCGGAAAGCACGGGAAGAGAAGGGATGGACCACAGCCAGGTAGCGGTCCACGCTGATGCAGGTGAGCAGCAGCACCGAGCAATACATGTTCCCGTAGAACAGGGCCGTGGTGAGCCGGCACAGCCCTTCCCCGAAGGGCCAGTCATTCCCCAGGAAATAGTAGGAAATCTTGAAGGGCAGCACCAACACGAGTAGCAGGTCTGCAGCAGCCAGGTTCATCAGGAACACGGTGGAGGTGAGCCTCTCTGCCCTGGTGGCCAGGACGCACAGGGCTAGCCCGTTGGAGGGCAGTCCCACCAGGAACACGAGGGTGTAGAGGGCAGGGATGAGGCGCACAGTGAGGGCGCTACCCAGCTGGGAGCGTGTGGCCTCAGGGATCAGCAGGTATGTGATGTTGTTCACGGTGGCCTTGTCCCCAGGGATGGCTCGGGGACACGGGGTGGTCTCTGGAGTCTTGTCCTGGTCGTTGGTGCTGTTCTGAGAGTAATCTGAGAGACAAGGCAGTCTGTTATTCACTCATCCCCAGTGCTCACCCCGAAGGCTGCTCTTTGCCATTTCTGTTGGGACCCCTGGAACTGACTGTACTCTGGAAAGAATGGTGTGTGGTGGGCAGAAAAACTTGGCTGAGAGACTGAGTTGTGCAAGAGTCACCTCAGCAACCTCTCGGAGAATGGATCCAATTCCTTTGCCATGTGGTTTCCCACAGCTCACAAGTGACTGTGGTGCTGTACGACCATCAGCAGGCCTGGGAGGCCAGAGAGCAATTCCTCTGTCTGGCTTTCACAAGAATCTGAAAGTCTGGAGCCATTCCAGTGTAAAGTCATTACTGTGGTAGTCTAAATTTGCTTTCAAGTGCTCTGTTTTACTGCTCTGTTTTTTCTTTCTCTTTCTAGTTTCTTCCACCCCAGCTTCCTTCTCTGTCATATCACCTCTGTCACCTCCTGCTTCAGCTAGAGCCTGCACAAAACTCAATCAGAGTGTGCTGCCACGTAAAAACTCATTAAAAAATAAGTTTTCAGGGATCTTATAAAGGTACCAAACACCCAGTACTTCAACAAACAGCAATTTTTCACCCAGAGACACACACTCACCATCGTAGTCCTGACAGGCCACTCGGAGTCCCCAGAAGGCACAGCACAGTAGGAGCCTGTGAGACATCCACCCATTCCCAAGGTTGCCCATCCTGGTGCAGGATCCAGTGCCCCACTGCAGTGTCAGAGCTGTATGGGAATCGCAGCACCAGTGACCCTGCTTACGCATTTCCTTTGGTTAGTCCTTAACTCAAGGCAAGAGGCAGATCCCGGAATGATGAGGCTTTGGGGGCTGTCAGAGCCTGCGCTGCCCAAGCAGACACAAGCCTAGTGTCAGAGGGGGACTGGGAGGGGCATAAGAATCTAGATCCGAAGTGTACCAGGTCTGTACTTCATCATCAGAGCTTGATGATGCCTCGAGTGACTCACTTGGGTCTCCTTCCTGCTCCGGGATATTCTTGGAAAGCATCCTTCTTCCACAGAGACCCAAATGGCTCTGGGGGAGATCCAGATCTTTTCCCACATGCTAGTCCACAGTGTTCTCTGGTCTCACAAACAGGAAGATATCAGAACTGAGGATCAGACAGACCTCCCCAGCTCCCAGGGATTATACGGGGATCTTGCAGACTCATGGTCTGGCAGTTGAAGGTTTTTAGTGTCAGCCTTGCAGCCTCCAGACCAGGCTCGGCCCTTCAGAGGTCTGCTCCTTTATTTCTGCTCCTGCTCCCTGACTAAACAGGGGATGAAGCTCCTGCACCTTCTCAGTTTTACTGCAGAGGGTGATTAAAAGTCTTCTGGGAGGGAGCTATTTGTACTTGAAAGAACCAGCAGGAGCACCATACCATACCAAAGGCAAGTGGCAAAGTGAGGGAGACACTTGTGCTTCCTCTGATAAACCTGAACAGGGAGAGCAGCTCCATCCAGCAGGAAAGGGGCCTGAGAAGGGCTCAGGAAATCCCTGCAATTGGGTAGATAATGGTGAATTCCAGTCACTCTTGCCCCAGAAAAGCATGTTTCCCAAAACTGTGTAGTTCCACCCTGGAGTACTGAGCTCTCTCCCTGGGTTTGGAGCTCGGAGCAGCATATGGAGCTGCCACAGACCTGTTGGTTGTACCCAGAGGACAACTCAGATAATGCTGGAAGAGGCACTGGTAGATGTTACCTGAGTCTTTAAGATCCTTTCCTGCCCGGTCCCCCTTCTCTAACCCCTTGAGCAAGTCCCTTCTGTGCTCTGCCCTGCACAGCAGCACTGGGAAGCTTCCAAATCCTCTCTCATCTCCTTTGTTGGAGCCCAGTGTGGTCAGTAAGTGGATGGGCCAATGGGACAGTGTCTCATGGATGGAGAGGGTGCTGGTTTTTAGGTTCTTGCTCTTCAGTCCTTGCCTGGCTCTGCAAGGGAGGAAGGAAAGGAGCTGGAGCCCAGCAGTAGGAACTGTAAATTTGGTTTGGCAACCTGAGGAGCAGCTCGTTTCTTTCTCCTCAGCTTATGAATGGCCTCTCCTTTAAAGGTTGCAAATCTGAGCCTGCCTGATGTTTGATGAGATTCTTCTAGTCCAAGGAGAAAATGATCCTATTTCCTTTGCTTTCACCATATTCCCACATCCTTGTGCCGAGTGTGTCAAGAGGTGGAGTTCCACTGGCAGGGAGAGGGAAGATACAGTATTAGATGTTTTGCTTTTGTGATTCTCTCAGGATTTATGAACCATTACAGAATGACTCATGTGGCCACATATTTTCCATGCCTCAGCCAGGATCCTTTCCATGCTCTCTATGCAAAAAATTATCCGTAGTCAGGTTCAGATAGTGTGCAAATTACAGCCCTGCTTCCTACAGTCAGGTCTCTGGAGTGGAGCACAGAGAGGTTACTCATCACTGTATCCTTCATTTTTCAGATACTGTGTGATCTTTAGTGACTGCCTTAGATGCAGAACAGCTTGCTTGAAACTTCCAGTGCCAGAGGTTTGTCACGGCTTATTAACATCTCTTTAAGTCATGTGATCCTTGCCCTGCGGGGTAACAATTTGGTTTTCAAGTAATTCATTGTGCAATAGATCATCTCCTGGGAGCTGGCTCTTTTTTATTCCACGGCTCTGAACCCAAAAGATGTAATGCTGGAATACAAGCTGGGGATTTGAAAGCTCAGAGGGAGGGTAGGAACACCACCTGGCCTGTCCCATTTATCTTCAAGGTTTGGAAGAGCAAACTGTGGTAGGGAAATGATGGGACTCTGTTCTAGCAGCTCCAGTGGGTTCCTGAGCTAAAGGCAGCAGGTGAGAGGACAGAAATCTCAGGGCAGGGAGTACCTGTCCCAGGCTGAGCTTGGGTTTGAGATGGAGACATGAGAGGCAACAGCTCTGACTTGACACCAGCAACACAAGGCATTTCCACCCTCACGTGGATGTGGAGCTGGCTCTGCCAGTCCCACCACTCGTTGTGCAGCATCTGAGCCCTCAGAGCCACAGGGCACAGAAACACCCACTGACTGCTGGAATGGAAATGCTGGTCCCCTGGCCCAGGTTTCCCCATCCCAGAGATGTCTCTGCAGGCTCTGGCAAGTACAAGATGCCTTCACTCCCTGGACACTCTTCCTGACTTTTCTAGCACACCAGTTCCCCTCCTTCTCACTCTGTCAGGTCTCTGCCATCACCCTGAGACTCTCCATGGCTCCAGGGAATCTCCCTGCCTCTCTTTTCTGCTTGTCTCAGCTTTCCTGTTCCACTGGGATCCCACCCAATCTTTTCCCTTGGTTATTCCACACATTCTCCTCATCACTTGTCAGCTTTACACTGCTGTAAGTTTTGAGGAGACTAAGTTTTTTCAGAACTACTCTTCTGCTTGTTCACAGTTTTCACTTCACAGTGTACATATGAAGACATTTTTCCAGGATTATTTGAAGCTTATTAACATCAGTGCAACCCACTGGATGTTCTGGAATTGCTTCTTTTGGTTCTTTCTCAGCAAGATAATGACACCGGTGTAGGAGCTGACACACCCACCATCATCATCCTTTGTCAACACCAGGTCTCAGATGAGTCTCTTTGGATTCATTCTTTAGCACAGGTCTGGTTTAGAATTGCTAGACTTTAATTTGGTCTTTAAATTGGTAGAGCATACCCTTAGTTTCATTAAGGTTAATCCAGGGGAATGGCTAAAACTCAACTCATGTTTTCACACACAGTTCTAGACTCTCTCACTGATTCACAGCCCCGACTCTCTTGTGCATCACTGATGTTAAAAAAGTCCTGAAATATTAAATATTGAACTCAGGTACTCCCTTTAGCAATTCTGAAATCAATTGCAAAAACCATTTATTCTTATCCCATCCTGCAACCCTGTTTTTAAGCTGTTTTAAGCTGTTTGTCAGTGCCAAATTTGTCCTTGCTGAGACCTCCAACTGCTCTTGGGTGATGTCACATCCGGTCACCCCTACCCGCGGGCACAGGGAATGTCCTCTTTGTGAGAAGGCCAAGATCTCTGTGAGAACACTTGTGTCAAGTGGGCTATGTCCTCTGAGACCCCACCACCATTCTTTTAATCAAATTATTCTGTGCAATTTATGCATCAGAGGGTTGTTATTGGGAGAACAACAGTTTGTTTCTCTGTGAGGCTGCATAGAAAGCAGAGTTGCCTTTTGTTATGGCAACGGAAGTGTTGGGGATGATGTAAAGGAAACTACTATCGGCTCTGTGTCACATAGGCTTAATTTGCAAAAATCTACTCATTCATTTGTTGTGCAGAGCTCACAGGGAACAGAGTTAAACATCTAATTACCCAGGAATTTGGGGAGGTTGAGGGAAAGGCGTGTAGAGGGTTATTTTCACAGTTGCAGTTCTGTTGCCTTAACCTGTAGCAGATGTTCTTATGGGTTTCAGAACTGGGATCAGGCACTTTTTCTGATGGTTTGTTGAGTGTGTGAGTTCCTGGGGGCCAGGCCTGGGCCAGTTTTGTGACTCAGCTCTGTGACAAAGATGTTGCTGTAAATAAACCAAGCTGCAAGATGCTGCTGTCTGGCAGGACACAAATAACCTGAGCAGGAAGGGACTCACAAGGATCATCCAGTCCAACCCCTGGCCCTGCCCAGGACACTCCAACAATCCCACCCTGTCCCTCAGAGCATTGTCCAAATGTTCCTTGAGCTCTGGTAGCCTTGGGGCCATGACCACTGCCCTGGAGAGCCTGTTCAGTGCCTGACCACCCTCTGAGAAAAGAACCTTTCCCTAATATTTGTCCCAAGCCCCCTGACACAGCTCCATGCTGTTCCAATCTTTTCTTTTGAAACCTCTCTCTGCGCGGAGCAACTGTGCCACCCCATGGACTCCCCACTCCCCTCCAGCCATAGGCCTGGGTTCCAACAGAGATTCTGGCAGCACAGATGTGGGATCCTGTGTGGGAGCTCCACTGGAGGCTACTTGCAGGAAACATATTTCCCTTTCTCCTTAGCAAGTGCTCTGCGCACACCCTCACTGAACACTGGCTGCCCCGCTGGAAACAAGTTGACACACAGACACATCAGCACATCCTACACTCTGCTCGGGAACTGCTAGAAGAGAAGTTCATTCACCTTTTCAATTGCATTTTTCTACCATTTAAAATCCAGTTTCAGGTACAAGACAATCAATTTCAGGGATTGTCAGAAAGTTTAAATTAATAGGAAAGAAATTTAAACCAGCGAGAGCTGCAGACTTTTAAAATCATTATTTTATTTTACTTGAATGTGCAAATAAATATAAAAAAAACTACATTCAAGGAGCTGGCAGAGCAATTACAAGCCCAAAAGCAAAGATCCTTCAAACAAATGGAAGAACAAACTCTTGACTCAAGGTCGTGCAGATACACGGCAGTCGAGCTGAAACCCCCAGACACGAACAAGCCCCTCTCAAACCCCGCCTGTTATTCCCTTCCCATCCTTGCTACCCTCGGCTTTGAGACAATAGCACTGCAAAGGGCAAAAGTCTTGCTTAATCTGTTCAGATTATAAATTAAGGTTTACAAAATAAGGATGCTTAAAAATACCTGAAGTACACTTAAAATGGGGTGATGGATCAGGACGGTGCACAGGGGTGTTTCCCACCTCAGTACACCTAGAATCAAATGCATTTTAAGCCACAAGTTTCAACCTATTTTCCAGTAAGTAGTTTTTCTGTATCATAAAACCATAAAATTTGGCACAGTTGTCATCTCCACTGGGAGTCAGCAGAGAGGTGAGGACTAAGGTGTGTTTCAGTGAGC